TATCACCCCCCCCCCCACACACACACACACAGAAGGAGAGAATAAGGATCGCTGTGTGTGTGACAGTCTTTCGAGAGTGTTTTCTGTTAGATAAAGAGAGCAATTATATCAAACTTGAAAAGTGTTGCCAGATAAGCAATAAAATCCCTAATAAAAACAGCAGTGTGAGAGGAGTAGAATAAAGACGCCCAGCTGAGGGTTAACAAGCACTTCACACTTGGCACTTCCTCATGAAAACGCCCAGTTAAGAAGCAAAATAAAATAAATTAAAAAGAGACAATAATTTGAAATAAGCTAAGTCAGGCTGAAAACACATCCACATATCACAATTTCATGTACTCTGTTTTCAATCAGAAAAACAGAGGCAGAAAAACAAAGAGCACTTTCAGAAATCATTTAACTTTTAGTGCATACTCATTCAGAAAACTAACGATTTCTTTAAGAAAGAGGGAGGAGATGGGCTGGAAGAGGTGAGAGAGACTGACAGCTACTGAGGGAGAGACAGCAAGTGAAAGAGACTGATAAAGAAAAGAAAGAGGGCTGCTGCATGCCTTCAGATGCCCACAAGTTTGAAAGGTGTGCCAAAGACTGTGTGTGTGTGCAAACCAATCTAGAAAACAATATTCTTTAATTCATCTTTAAACAACTCATGACAAAGTCACTTTCATTGTGACTTTACTATTCAAACATGACTTATATTTTACAGACACTTCATAGACTATACAATGAAGTAAAAGCAATAAGCTAGTAGCTGTGGAACTGAGTAGCTGGTTTCTAGCTGGTTCACACCAAGGATGATAACTATAATAATAACAATAACTATTATCTTCTAATAATAGATCTAGACCTTAATCAGGTTAGACATCATACTGAATTTAATGCGGATTAAAACGAGGCTGTGAGGGATAGACTTACAGTCTTTGCACCGTATAAACTAAAGGTCCTAGATCATTGTAATTTTCACAACTTGTATCTTTTAAAAATGTTTTATAGAGTTTTTGTGTAATGAACGTTTTTTGGAAATATGTTTTGTGAGCTGAAAGATCAGTATGTTGTTAAATAACAGTACAATCCATTGAACGCACTATATTTATATTTCTCACAGTCTCATTTTCATTCCTGTGGGAATATGGTGCTATAGGGAAGTCCACACCACACCTACAACATCACTGGAATCACTTTCAGAATGATTTTTGGCTTTTAGAACATGGTGGCTGGTCAATAGGCAGCATAAGCTGAATTTTTAGACTATGGTGAGGTCAACAGCAGTTTCCAAATCCTAAATAGTTCATCCATGTAAATCAAGAGTGCTGGTTCTTGTTTTTATAAACGGCACCTTCCTCCTTTAGCTGGAGCTTCTTCTAAATCAAACCAAAGTTCTTGCAAAAAGGTTCTCTGTTTCAGCACTGCTTAATCAGTCACACATATGGCTGCTCTGGAATAGTTTCGATGAGAATGAGAATGTTTTAGATAGTCATGGTAACGTGAAGACCTCCTGTTGAGCCAGCTTGAACCCTGTCACCACCAATTTTACAGCCATGAAAGACATGAACCATAACAATCTCCACTTGATTCTAGAGTGTTTTCTTGAGAAAGAGTGAAGAGTTCAACAGTAAAACAAAAGAAAGTTGTGTGTGTGTTTACAGTAAGTGCAACAGTTGGGTTCTAGGTGGATGCTGCACACTGGTGGTGGTAGAGGAGATTCCCCCCTTCTATGTAAAGCGTTTTGAGTACCCAGAAAAGTGCTATATAAATGTAAGGAATAATTATTAATTATTATTCTATAAGTAAAAGCCATTTATTTTCTCCATAGAGATATTTATTTTGCTTTCTATTAAACTTAAAACTTACTGAATTTATGACTCAAAGTCAATAGCTTTATATTGCACCATCATTTGCTAAGCTTCACTGGATGAGTAATTTATTATTAACAGTTCTAAGTACTTTTTAATATGGATTTAAACCAAAAGTCTGTAATGTGATATATCTCGGTGTCACGGTTGCCTTCTGTGGCGAAACAAAGAACGAGGAGACATGGGATAAACTTAAAGTAACTGTCATTCAATCATCCAAGACGGGGTAAAGCAAGGCAGGCAGGGACACACAGGAAACACAACATCGATGTTCAATACCAGACAACACAGACAGGAACTTAAGTACATGGGACAATTGACAAGACACACCTGGGAGCAATCAACAATCAAACACACAGGAAAACCAAATGAACTTAAACTATAATGAGGACAGGAACAGGAACATAACCAAATATGGGCACACACGAGGGAAAACAAAACAAAACATACAGAACAGTCCTTGGGTGTGACACTTGGAGCCGGTTCAGTTGTTTTTTTTATTTTATTTTTTTAATTGACTATGGAGAAAATAAATGGGAAAAATACTCCTGGCACAAAGGCCTTTGAAAAAGTGGACGGCCACTGTTGTGCTCTATTGGGAGCTGGAAGGAGTTTATGGGGGGTTGCCTTTGTATAAATTATGCATCAAATCAATAGAGAGAGGAAGAAAGATAAAAAGACAAATAGTGCCTTTAGTGGGTGAAAAAGGCAATATATCATATAACACCATCCAGACAGCCATTGGTCAATTTCACAGTTTCTACTAACGGTCTCATTAGGTTCAGTTCAATATCCAATTTGCATTTTAAATTATATAAATAGTGTGAATTCTATTTAGATACAATAGCAGACTGTGGAAGTTTTTACCCTAAGTTTGCATCTATGTCCAGTCATTTGCAGCTAATATATGTGTGACTGTCTTTCTCTCTATTCTAGATCCGTTGAGTCCTACCTATCCCACCTTCGCTAGTGATTCCAGTACGTCTGTCACTGATCCAAATGGTTTGTGGAGCCCCAACCCCGGAGGGGATGCCACCACACCCAAACCTAGCTCCCCTCACTTCATTGGCAGAGGGCTAAATGAGAACCTGATTCCCATCTACTGCCCCATCCTTGCAGCGGTCGTAGTCGGCCTCCTGGCTTACATCATCTTTAAGAGGTGAGCTAAAGAGAGAAAAAAATCTTAAAACAAAGACATAATAACAGATTGTAATGATTGAGGACAGTAATAGGTGGTGAATAATTCAGGCCTTATTATTGGAGTTATCAGATTAACCCTCATGCTGTATTCTAGTCATTTTGACTTGGAGAGGATATTCTTTTTCCTGAAAATGCTAGTTAATGTTATCAAATTGTTCTGAAATTTTGCGAATTTGCTCACACAGGGTATGACAACCGAAATTGGATAATTTTCATACTTTTTGGGGGATTTCCCCCAACCTTGTTACACTTCTGGTGTTCCCAGTCTAAAATAACCAGCCTACAAAAAATTGCTTTAAAAATCTCTCAGTTTGCCATATATTATCACCAAATCTTGGATAAAATTTGTTTTTGAGTGAATATTGACTCAATCATCCACAAATAATGCTTTTTTTTCATTAAAAATTGGGGTGTATAAGCTCAGATCAGTGTTCCTAAAAGAAATACAAAACCTTTTTTGACCGGAAACACCAAACCAGGAAAAGGATTTTAAGGATTTTAAAAGGTTAAAGGAATAGTTCACCCAAAATGAAAATTAGCCCATGATTTACTCACCCTCAAGGCATCCTAGGTGTATATGACTTTCTTCTTTCAGACGAATCCAATCGGAGTTATATTAAAAAGTCCCCTTTCAGTCAGTCACTTCTGACATCATGTCGATGACAGACGAATTGGGAATCTCGCCAGAGAGACCAATCTACTTCGAGTGTAAATTAAACGAGACAATGAACATTGGCATGCGGTGATTGCATCCAGTTGCCGCTGATTGCAGCGCGAGTATAAATGGGCAGCAGGTGCAACGCATACTCAGCTTTTCGCTTCAGAGCCGAGCGGTATCATCGTTATGCTCCTGCCAGGCTTCCCTACTCTCACACCCTCTGCCCAACCATGGAACCAGGTAAGTGTTGCACCGCACACTCAGACCCCGTTTCGGCCCACCCATGAGCCGCCTGTGCCGGGTCCCTGTGTTCCACCTCTCTGCCCCACTGTGGGTATGTCGGTGGTTCCGCTGGTCTCACTTGCAAGGTATCTGGGAGCTCCTTCGGACCATCAGACTCGGCTATGCAATTCAGTTTGCCTGGCGTCCTCCCAAATTCAGGGGTATCCTCTTCACATCAGTAAAGGCAGCCAATGCTCATGTCTTGTGTGTGGAGATCGCCTGTGTGTCTTGAACCGGGCCCTTCACAGGCTACCATTCAAGATGTTGACACAGAAATGCATCTTCGGGTGCATCCGTTCCCGAGATTGGTTTGCAGCGATCAACCTGAAGGACGTGTACTTTCATGTCTCGATCCTTCCACGAAACAGACCCTTTCAGTGGTTTGCGTTCGTAGGATGAGCATATCAATACAAGGTCCTGCCCTTCGGGCTGTCCCTGTCCCCTCGTGTTTTCACGACATGGTCCAGCTGATTTGGAGACGTTTCAGAGTCACTCAGGTAGAGCTGTTTGCCTCTATAGAAACCTCTCACTGCCAGCTGTTATAACAGACCTGACCGAGGGAACACTCGGCACGGACGCACTGGCACACAACTGGCCGCGGGGCCTGCACAAATATGCGTTTCCCCCAGTGAACCTTCTTGCACAGACACTGTGCAAAGTCAGGGAGGACGGGGAGCAGGTCTTGCTCGTTGCGCCCTACTGGTCCAACCAGACCTGGTTCCCGGAACTGATGCTCCTCGTGACAGCCTCTCTCTGGTGGATTCCTCTGAGGAAGAATCTACATTCTCAGAGACGGGGCACCCTGTGGCACCCGCGTCTGAACCTCTGGAAACTCCATGTCTGGTTCCTGGATGGGATGCAGAGGTTCTAGGTGACCTACCCCAAGAGGTAGTGGACACCATTACTTCGGTGCGAGCACCGTCTACGAGACACGTTTACGCCTTGAAGTGGAACCTGTTCGTCGAGTGGTGTTCTTCTCATCGAGAGGACCCCCGGAGATGCCCGATCAGAGTTGTGCTTTCCTTTCTGCAGCAAGGGTTGGAGTGAAGGCTGTCTCCCTCCATCCTTAAAGTCTATGTTGCTGCTATTTCCACCCATCACGACCCCGTGGAGGGGAAGACGGTAGGGAAACACGACCTGGTCATCAGGTTCCTTAGGGGACGAGAAGGTTGAACCCTCCTCGATCTCCCTCTATACCCACTTGGGACCTGACTCTGATGCTCAGAGCACTCCAGCAGGGCCCATTTGAGCCTTTGCAGTCAGTCGAGCTAAAGTTTCTCTCAATGGAAACTCTGCCAAGAGGGTAGGGGACCTGCACGCCTTTTCAGTTGACGAATGGTGCCTAGAGTTTAGGCTGGCTGACTCTCAGGTAACTCTGAGACGCTGGCCTGGCTATGTGCACAAGGTTCCTACCACGCCCTTCAGGGATCAGGTAGTGAGCCTGCAAGTGCTGCCCTCCGGAGGAGGCAGACCCAGCTCTAGCTTTGCTCTGTTCCGTCTGCACTTTAAGATTGTACGTAGGCCAGACACAAAGCTACAGAGCAGCTCTTTGTCTCTTACGGAGGCCTGCAGAAGGGGAATGCTGTCTCCAAGCAGAGGATGGCCCACTGGATAGTGGATGTCATCGCCCTGCTTATCAGGCACAAGGCATGCCCTGCCCGCTCAGGTTGTGAGCTCACTCTACTAGGAGTGTTGCATTCTCCTGGGTGCTAGCTCGTGGCGCTTCACTGACATATATTTGTAGAGCTGCGGGCTGGTGACCCCCAACACGTTCGCTAGATTCTATAGCCTTCGTTTTGAGCTGGTATCCTCCTGTGTTCTCACCTCAAATGGGTAGAAGCACTGAGAGGCCCCCGGCTTAGTGTCGGCTTACTATTTCACAAATCGTGATACTTGCTGCAGAGTGTCTGTACTGTAGACCCTGTAGAACTCCTCCATCACCCTCTGCAGCCAAAAGTGGTGGAGTGTCTGGTGCCAGGCCCTCATTTGATGAATCCATGAGAACCGGTAGAGTAGTGACCTAAGTGGATCCCATATGTCTTTTCTTCCACGGTATAGCTTAAGCCTGTGTTTCCCTGGCAGACTTCTCTGCCATCCCTGCAAGTATAACCAACTTAACTTATAACCACCTCTAAATCTTCCATGTGTACAAAGGCCCTAAGGAGTTAATCCATATGCGTAAGTGCCACCTGAAACCTCCTTCAGGAAGGATGGGGCTTCCGCAATGTTCCTCTTCCAAATAGAACTGGTACATTTTCCCAGTGTTATCCAATCTCACTGAGTGGGTAGTGCTAAGAATAGTGACTGGCCTTTCAGTTGCGAGCCCTGGCCTATACCCAAAGGGGTACAGGAGGCTTGCACAGGACACTGGAAGGGGCAGCATCCGTGGTTCTTTGGTAGGGATTCCTAGTTCGTCGGTCATCGACGTGACATTGAAAGTGACGACTGAAAGGGAACGTCTCTGTTACGTATGTAACCCACGTTACCTGAAGAACGGAATGGAGATGTCACGTCCTGTTGCCACAGTTTCTGTACCACCGCTGAGCGGCCGGGTCACCGGCTCGGCTCCTCAGCGAAAACCCGAGTATGCGTTGCACCTGCTGCCTATTTATACTCGTACTGCGATCAGCGGCAACTAGGTGCAATCATCGCATGCCAATGTGCATTGACCTGTTTAGTTTACTCTCAAAGGGGATTAGTCTCTCTGGCGAGATTTCCAATTCGTTGGTCATCAACATGATGTCTCCGTTCCCTCCTTCAGGGAACGAGGGTTACATAAGTAACTGAAAGGTTTCTGTTCAACAGTCCAAAAGAAGTCCAATAAAGTGCATTCATCCATAATAAGAAAGTGCCTCACACGGCTCAGGGGGGAGAATAAAGGCCTCCTGTAGCGAATCGATGCGTTCTTGTAAGAAACATATCCATATTTAAAACGTTATAACCACTTTTCTGTAGCTTGCGCTGTCGTACGCGGAAGCTGTTCTGGGCGGATGACATAGGACGTATGCGTAGCGCATGCACCGGTGAGAATATGCTAATCTTGTGAAAACCAAAGTTTTTTTAATAGGAGCAAAGAAAGCAAAGTTTCCTTACTTTAGCAAAGGAAAACCAGTCTCCTCTTGGCTTAACATTTTTCTTTACAAATCCTCGTTTGTACTTCTAATTCGTGACCGGTGTTTTGTTTTGTTCTCTCCTCTTTGCTTCCGCGTTTTTTAGGGGAAGTCGTGGCCTAATGGTTAGAGAGTCGGACTCGTAACCCAAAGGTCCACTTTTTTTTCTTCTTTTTTTAAATTTCTTACTTCTCACTGGCGCATGCACTACACATATGCCCTACGTCATCCGCCTGCAATGGCTTCCGCATATGGCAGTTCGAGCAAGCTACAGAAAAGTGGTTATAACTTTCTAAATATGGATAGGTTTATTAGAAAAACGCATAGATTCGCTACAGGAGACCTTTATTTATCCCCCGGAGCCGTGTGAGGCACTTTTTTATTATGGATGGATGCGCTTTATTGGACTTCTTTTGGACTATTGAACAGAAACACCTGCCCACTGCCATTATAAAGCTTGGAAGGGCCAGGACATTTTTAAATATAACTCCGATTGGATTCGTCTAAAGGAGAAAGTCATATACACATAGTGGAGGGCTTGAGGGTGAGTAAATCATGGGCTAATTTTCATTTTTGGGTGAACTATCCCTTTAAACTAAGTCATTTTTAGATGACTGTTGAAAGGGTTACTCCACCCCAAATTTAAAATTTTGTCACTAATCACTTACCCCCATGTCGTTCCAAACCCGTAAAAGCTTAGTTCGTCTTCGGAACACAATTTAAGATATTTTGGATGAAAACCGGGAGGCTTGTGACTGTCCCATTGACGGCCAAGTAAATAACACTGTCAAGGCCCAGAAAAGTATGAAAGACATCGTCAAAATAGTCCATCTGAATCCGTGTATCATTCGATCATTCGTTTTTTGATTTAATATTGAAAATTGAAAAATGAGAAAACGGCTCCTTTTTCGTT